GTATAACTACTTTTCTACCACTACAGCATAGTCCACGAGCTTCAGCCTTCCATTTCTTAGCTTGACATTTAATGCATATTTTATCCATTCTACTAATATCAATATCATTTAGTATAGAATAGTCAATATTACAGTCATAATTAAAKTTTAAGAAATCGTATCGCCTGCGTGTTCTATTCATTATTGATCGTGTATTTTGTTAAGCTAATCGGTGGGAACGTTCAACGTTCAATTCCTTAGCTTGGTTTTGTTCAATGATTACTCGTTGGGTAGCCAACCTAAGTATATTTTCACCCACTGTTTCATTTCTGCGTAAAAGTTGCAGCCGTTTAGGTGTAGCAGACTGCCAAAAAAGCTGAGTTATTTTTCTAGGCATAATACAAATGTTGATAAAACTACGAAACAATACCCAATATAAAATGACTACAAAATCATATAATGTACTGTTTAAATCAAATTGAGTGTGGACAAAAACTTAAATAAAAACAATAAAACAAATATTAATATTATTTCTTTGCCCAGTAATTTTATTTTAAAACTATGCTATTTTTATTTTTATATATACTTTGCTGAGTTTGCTGGGGCATGGTTTTTAATAAGTTTTTTTTTTTTTTTGAAAACAGAGAAAAATGTTTGGACCATCGAAACTAATTCAAACTAGAGACACATCAGTACATTGATCCTACTGAAGTGCCTTTGTGTCATAGAATTTCCGCATTTCATTTTTATTAATTTTTAAATAGCAAATTCATAAATTTCTTATCAATTCTTAGGTACTGACTTAACCTGTGGACTTTCTAAAAATGTTATAATACAGCCTATAGCTTTCCCTGATAAAATTAAAATTCAACAAAAAAAATTTTTAATTCGAACCAGTTGTTCCAGAGATTAATGTGTTCAATTTTTTTTACTTTTCAGCTTTATAATATTATAGATTAAAAACTTAAATACCTAATACTGATATTCAACATATATATTTAATTTAATAAGTAAAGTATAGTGAACCCTAAAATTTAGATAATATGGGTTACACAAAACTAATAGAAATGTTTAAAACCATGTAACAAGAATTTTGTAATAGGATATTTTATTTGCAAAGTAATTTACACTCAATGGTTTATTTTGAGTTCTTTATAAAAACAGTAAATCAAAAATAATAGGTATGGACGAAATCAAATATATACTTATTAATATCATCTTCTAAGACAGTAAATTAGTAAAACTATTATAAGTAAACTTAACCATTTATTTTAAATATAACAACCATTATCGATTGATAAACCAAACAAGTCTTATTGTTGATAAAAACCTCATACTTAGTGCTTTAATCTTCAGATATGGAAAACTTATTCATGAAGAATTATTCATTCCGGAAGCAAGGCTGCAATTAGTGCAGTGATATTAAATGTTAAAATTTTTTTCTTTTTTTTTTTTTTGTTAATGGAATATAAAATATAATGTAAATAATAAAATCACAAATAATTAAATAAAACACTAATAAACATATTATTCATATTATTGGACTAAACAAAATATTAATCTTACCATTCTTATTACACTTTTTTATTTTTATTTTTTTGATTGCACTTAATGCGTTTGATGAAATCGAGATTGATGTTATAAGATGATCATTACTCATTAGTAATAAATTGTTAAGATATATCATTATATTAGGAGTATAATAATTAATCCATACACGATACTGTATATAGGTACCTACATCTAAATACTAAAATGATATAAATGATTTTGTTTGTGCTTAATTATTTGTTTCTGAACAGATTAATAAAATTGTTTCTTTCTTTAAAGTAACAGCCAAATAGACTTCACATCACTCAAGTTTCATTTGTTTTCATTTTTCAGTTGATTAATCAATTTATTTGGAATAGGATTTTTGTAGTGATAATATTTTAAAATATAAGCTGAGTATAATAAAAAAACATAATATACTTACTGGATGATTATTTACGTCACAGTTACCATTGTCTCAAAATTGTTTACAGTATAACATTGTTTTGTTATTTTTCACCTATTCATGTTTATCAAATAAGTAAAACTTTTGATGAGTGCAACATCCAATCTGTATAATGTGTATACAGACATTTTAATGTGCATGTATTAATATGTAGCGGCTTTTCTCCGTGATATATTTCAGAGACAACATAACTATAAATTGGTATCTTGTGGTATATGAATTACAGGTGTGTAAATTTATAAGCATAATTTTGCAACATGGTATTTCTTAATTAAACCTATGTAAATGCTGTCTAGAAACAAAACGGAATACCAATTGCATATAATACCACACACCCGTTTGAATACCTTCGTTGTGCAACATTCTCACTCAACTCACCGTGAGAGGATTTTAAGACTTAACAGTGTCAATTGAATAGAAAACCATTCATGTATGCCATACATACCTATATTATAATATAATATTATTCTGTTTATTTTTAACATTATGTTGGTATACATACACATACAGATAAATTTGGTGATATTCTTCTTATCTTGATAATTCATTCAACATATTACAATATTATAATAATGTTGTCAATAATTGATTATATTCTTCTTTATACAAAAAATAATTTATATTATGTAATTATCGATAGGTTTGGTAATTCAAATCTTAAAGATTCTTTTATCACAACAAAGTAAATCTTATAGATTTAGACAACGTTATATCATACATGCAATATTAGATAGTACCTACGCAATGTGTTAGATAAATCGAATAGGGACAAATGGACGTAGCCGTTTGGACGTGGCCATTTGGACGTGGAGACAATTGGACGTCAAAAAAAAAATTAATTATAAATTAAATTTAAAATTTAAAATTTATACAATTAAAAAAAAAAAAAAAACTAAAAATTAAAAACTAATTGTTCTTGTTTATATTTTATAGGTGTTTACCTATTTATAAATTATAAAACCATTAATATTATATTTGTTTGTAATATAACTAATGGTATCGTATCATATCGAAGGCTCGTGTTCATACTGGTATAACAGACTTAATTATTCTTAAGCACATAAACAATCACMCTYACGACTCTGACGCTGCTAAAGTGGAAGCAAATATAGCAGTATGCAATATTAAAAAACGTGCTAGAGAAACCATGGAACCAACATCTACAGTGATAAATGAGTGTATTTCTGGATTATCACAAGCATCTAAGGTACTTAGATAATATTAGATTTTACACAATTACACAATTTTTATTATATTTATAATTATTTATAATTTATCATATTTATGAAAAAAAAAATTTAAAATGAGGGGAAAATGTCCTACTACAGATAGCTTATTAATTTAATTTATTTAATAATGTAAATATGGTTTATATATATATATTTTTTTTTTGACGTCCAATTGTCCCCACGTCCAAACAGCCACGTCCAAATGGCCGCGTCCAAACGGCTACATTTGTCCATTTGTCCTAGATCGTAGATAAATACCTAAAATACAATAAGACACCGTATTGCATAAATTTTATTTATAACTTTTTTTTTTTTTTGGACCTTTAGACCATCTTGCCATAGAACATATCCTCCCCCATTCTTCTCTATGTTCCGCTCCCTCCTTCCAATCCATGTCTTCGTAGTCCACTCCTCTAACACTTAGGAAATCTTTTTTAATTCCATCTTCCCATCGTAGTCTTTGTCTACCCAGTAGTCTTTTTCCCCTTGGGTTTTCTTGGAGTACTCTTTGAACCATTGAATCTTGCTTTCTACATACGTGCCCTGCCCATTCCAACTTACTTCGTTTGATCTTGTTTATAATACTTGGTCTATTGAAAAGCTCTGTAAGTTCTTGATTATGCCTTTTTCTCCATCCTTGAAGATAGGTCCATATATTTTGCAAAGTACCTTCCTCTCAAAGATCGATAATCTTTCCTCCTCAGTCCTTCGTAACGTCCAACATTGTGAACCATACATGACTATTGGTCGTATAATTGCTAGGTATAGCTGAGTGTTAACCTCTTTTAACAGGACTTTCAAGCTTAGTAGTTTGCCTAGTGCAAAGAAGCATTTATTTCCCATTTTTATTCTTTGTTGAATTTCAATTTGACATTCATTCTTCTGCGTTACAATCGTGCCTAGGTATTTCAAATCTTCCACTTTTTTGAACTCGTACTGACCCACTGTTACGGTTTCGGTTTAAGGAAAGTTATCTGGTTCCCTACTAACTTTCATGTATTGCGTTTTCTCCATGTTGAGATGTAGCTCTACTCTTTTTGCGGATTCTATTAACCTGTCGCATAGATTCACCACTTTTTGTTCCTCTTCCCCTAGCAAGACTATATCGTCTGCATAGGCGAGCAAACTAAAGCAGGTTCTATCCATTCTTACTCCTTCATCTCTACCAATATTCATTTCTCGGATCACCTTCTCTAATACTAAATTAAAAAGGATTTTCGACAAGGCATCTCCTTGTCTAAATCAGGTTCTTACCTTCACCATCCTTGATGTCGCATTTCCTACTTTGACTTTGACTTTAGTCTGTTTTATACTAGCTTCAACTAAACGTACTATTTTCCTTGGGAAATGGAAATGCGGTAATGTTAGTTCTATCTATACTGTCATACGCCTTTTGAAAATCTACGAAAATTATATGGAGTTCTGTATAACTTCTCTCACCATTTTCTGTATGTGCTCTTGGAACTCTCTAATTTTCCCATTATTCTTGAGTTTATCTACATCATACCTGACAATTTCCGATCTCATATTTCTACTCATCGTTTTTAGCTTTACCCTAAGATTGCTAGCTACTAGAAAGTGGTCAGAGYCGCAGTCAGCTCCCATGTATGTTCTTACATCCGTTATGTTGTTGGAAAATCTCTCATTTGTCAATATATGGTCTATTTGGTTTAAGTGCCTACCATCAGGTGATATCCACGTCCCCTTATGTATGTTCTTATGTGGGAACATTGTACTCTTGACTCTAAGACCTTTCCCTATGGCCAAATCTACAAGTTTTGTGCCATTGTCATTAGTCATGTCATGTAAACTGTGGATACCAATAGTTGGTCTAAATGATTTCTCTTTCCCATTTTGGCGTTCATGTCTCCTAGTACAATTTTTATTTTGCTATTACTAATCCCTTCTAGTAGTAGTTCTATCTCAGTATAAAAATCTTCTTTTTCTTGTTGTGATTTGTCCTCCGTGGGTGTGTGTACGTTAATGAATACGATATCGAACCATTTAGACTCTATTTTCAATAAAGCTAGTCTTGGGTTAATTACTCTAAAAACTTCTATCGTTGGTACTATATTCTTACGTACCGCAAAACCAACTCCGAATTGTCCTCTTTCATCACACCCACCAAAAAGGATTGTCATCTTTCCCATGTCCATATTTCCTGCTTCCTTCCATCTTATTTCCTGCAGAACCACTACTCCTAAATCATATTTTTCTACTTCCTTGACCATACTTTGACCTGCAACCTTGACCAGCATCAGGTTTTTAAAGTGTTCGTACGTTCCAAGTTCCAAAAGTGAGTTCTGGGTTTCCGTTTCCATATCTTTTTCATATTAAATCTAGACCAAGGCTTGTTCTTAAGATCCTGAACAAAACATTTTTAGGAGGCGGGGTTATTAGCACTGTGCTCAACCCTCAATCTGGAGGACCAGACTATCCCAACCATTTAAGGTCAGGGTACGGATACTGCAGTGTAATGATTGAGGTACACTGGGCGATGGGAGCGCCACTTTCCCTACGCCTTGAATTTTTATTTGTAACTAAAAATTAATTTTTTTTTACATTTCGTTGTGTACTTATGTAATATAGTTGTTACTCGTATAATACTTATATCAGTAAAAGTAATCCAATTATGTCCAAATTAACAAATTTGTTTTTTTTTTTATCCCGTTAATAAATTATTGATGTTTTTTTTTCATATTATTTTTAATAAAAATATTATTGATATACGTAGGTATCTTATAGGTAACTACATGGATTGTTTAAAAATAAGTAAAACATAATCAGACAAAACGAATTAATAAATATATACAACAGAATTCATTTATTCTAACTATAATAATTTTAAAATAAGTGATTATTTAAATAATATCTGAAAATATTGAATAAATTTAATTTTTGTCTACATTAATAATTATTGTAGGTATGTATTACTCAATAAATCCGTTTAAGGTGCGATGCGTGTCAAGAATTTGTCACTAAGAACCCAAGTGGTCAATGTTCATATATCTGAAAAATAGTGACAACTGCTGATGTTGGCCTTCAGAACACATTTGATACTAAAGCACGTCTTACAAAACCACAACTACAATCATTTATATATGACGTATATTGATACGGAGCGTTGAATTCCAACGTTCCGCGTCGTGAAAAAAAGTAACAAATTGCGAGTGTTGGTAATCACATTAATATATTGCTATATTGAATAATAATTTATACAATGTTGGGGCACGTAAAGCGTCGATCTACACCACCCAGACTTGATAAGTGAGGTGGCATAGTCAGTGGTGCTTGTGGCTAGTCGGGCACAGGCCCGACTCTATTTACAATGTCGGGTATGTTAAGTTTTGACTATATGGTCGGGAACCGCCCGTTACCGGTACACGCTTTTATAAGCGTTACTCCGGTGGCGAATCAGGTTCAGAAAAGATCAACTTAATTAAGAGCCGTTTTATGTGTTGCTCGACTGAGTCGGTCGCGACGATGGTTGCCACGCGGAATCTATCTGATGGGTTCGGGCTTCGGACTGTTGTCCTAGTCGGTCGTCGTTCCCGCCTGGTGGATGGTGTCCACGTTGTCCTCCGGGATAGCTCAGCTCGTATCGTGTGTTCCGGCGTATTCGACAATCGATTAACCCTGAACGGTGAGAGAATAAGCGTAACGCTGGGTGCTCGGCTGATAGGCAATCCGTACACTCACTGTTGATGTTTGGCGATAGTATTGTTGACAGGGCCGGTCGTTCGGTGTTTCTCCGCAGTCTCCGGTAGACAACAATCGTGTTTTGTCCGTGCGGCATGAGTCGCTGAGTGGGTCGTAGTTTTGGTGTCCGGCAACGGGTTCACTGAGTGATCGGCAGTCGGCGGATAACGGCTTGTGCGTTGCACGTCGTGGCTGATGATCGTCGTTAACTTGAGTTTCCAAATGATTCCAGTTCTTCGTAATTGATTGTTCAGTTGTTGAAGAGTTGAAGTTTGGAATTTGAATCATTGTCCTCGGTTGTTGTACCGGTATTTATACACGTTAATCAGATTTCCGTAGCTTTTATTGGATTCAGGCTACATGGAATGACAAGTCGACATAACCTCATTGTTATGGTCACCTGATCTCAACGGTGCTGTTTTCACTCAGTGAACTTGTTCGTCTGTTCGAATATAAACGTCGTTGTGTGTATAACGATGTTGTTATAGCGGTTAMTTTAATGGTAGTCTGTGGTTGGTTGGTGGTCCTGCAAAAGACCGTTTCTGTCGTCTGATAATGTTCCGTAACAATATATAGATCATACAAACCTAAATTATGAATTAATAACTATCATAAATGTTAAGAAACATGTTAAGAACATCCAGCCACGCATTTTATATTTACAAATAAACCGATACGGTGATACCTATTGTTTGAATCTCAACATTAAGGTACATAATAATTGTTGAACAATTTCAGCCATATTGTAGGTGAGCAATATAACTTAATTTTGAACTTAAATGTCTAGATTTAAAGGAAGTATTGATACGTATAGGTATGGAAAGTTCACAAGTTATAACGATAAGAAAAATAGATAAAAATGTTTTTAAAAAATAAAACAAAAGCCATGAAACACTATAATATTATTTTTATTTTCACTCTAGTTAAGAGACTACATTAAGTATTCATACTTAAAATTATTTATTATGATTATGCTTTATAAAGTATACTAAAAGTACACTACAGTAATATTATATTAATTATATGAAATGCTTTTCTTTCTTATGCGTGTCTAAATATTAAAATCAAACGACTCATACAGTACGTGATATTAACTAATAAACTAGGTAAATAATCAGTATTCAAATTTGAAGATTCTGATCAGTTAAATAAGTAATTTATAAAACGTAATATTATACGTCTAATAAAACATGATAAACAAATAAATAATGCAACACGCGTTATATGAATTATACTCGTATGTATAATATATTATTTTCATTTGCAAAAGTTTTAAATAAATAACAATAATTATTAAGTTTTTGGTATTGTGATATATTAAAGTGTATAAACAATTCATATTTCCATACTATAGACTACTATAATATTAARCCTAATAAGGCAAAAAATATGATAAATAATTTAAGAATAATATTTAAATCGATTCATAATTTCACATTTATTTTTTTAACTTTGCACTGAGGTTTATTTATATTTTATAACAAAATATTTTCAATAAAATAATCTAATAATATCACATAGCTAAATTGAAAAAGAGCTGTTAAAATAAATAAATACTTTAGATGTATCATTAATTATTTAAACAATCTAAGAATATGTAAGGTACACACAATACCGGTATACACACAATACATACAATTGTTAACTCTACTCGTAAATTTTAATTCATATTTGTTTTTATATTTATTGATAGTTAAACATTGAATTATTAGCTTATATTTTCTGAAAAATGTATACAAATAAAAATATTTTAAATTGAAAAACTATTTTCATAGTAGCTTTAAACAATAATTTGATTTACGTAGTTAATTATGTGTAAACGTGTATTTATTGTTTGAATATACTATCTTTATTCAGMGCTTTTTGTTGTGAAAAGATTTGTTTAGAATATTATTAAAGATTATAAATTGATCATAATATATACAAAAATTAATCACTGAKTTTGATCATAGAGTTCTCACCACATCTACAACTAACCTGGTGTAGGAGACTTGACTGATGAGGTATAGGAATGAATGTGATGAGGTACTGAAATAGTAATAACTTTGTTTCTTATTTCATTATACAGACGAGTATACAGTCAAATTCGCTWATAAAGATCTTCTAGGGACCTAGGGAATCTGATCGTTATAACCAAACTTCGTTATATCCGGATCATAAAAAAATTATAATTTTTTTGAAAAATTGATTTATTAAACACATTTTTTACTGTTATTTAAGATTACAAAATATGTATTTTAACATTCAAGGTATTTATATAAATTTTAATAAATGTACAGAATATACCTGTATAGACGTATAGTATAATATGTTTACGATTTGTTTGAAAAATAATCTTTAATAGTAGTTTGTTTATAATTTGAATAAGATTTTTTAACAAAATTAGAAATATTATTTAATGTCATTGATACTTCTGGCGTATTTATGTCACTATTTACCGAAACAAAAGTACGCACCTGATCAATATAAAAATACATTTCCGAAATAGATGGTACTTTGAATACGATTTCTTCGCTCTCTTCGTCAGCTTGTTCACTTTCATCATTATTTGCATTCAAATAGACTTGACAATTTATTCTTCATTGGGTTCTTCGTTGGTCAAAAGAGCATCGTCAACCTCCGCAAAACTTTGTATGTTTTCTTCAGAAAAGCACTCTGTGTCCAAATGATTTTCACTTAGTACTTCTGTTTCGTCGTTTATAGATACCATATTTCATTTTTAAACGTTAATATTTGAATTTTTGAATATGTTTGATATATTATGTCAATTATTCCATTTGGTTATATTTCCACGCTTCAATCGTTTTGCTCTTCATAATGTCAAATATCTCTGATGTTGAAGTTTATTTTTGTTGAAAAATAAGTCATTTTCATTCCCTTATACGTAGGATTTTATACATCCATTTATCCTTATAATATAAGAAACCTGCGTGAATATAATAACTTATCAATACACATACTATTAATATAATAAATTGCTATGTATAATATGAATATTATATTTCAAGTATGTAGTTAGTTTAAGCTTATTTTGCTTTCAAAATGTTTGATTACCTATATCAACGTATACTTACAAAGATTTTTTTGTTTTTAAACTACCTAATTCAATAAGTTACAACATTAAAACTATAACGGTAGATTAAATTAAAATGTTTATATATTGTCTGACAGGAAGAGGAGTTCTCTCATTGATGACACCCTGTGGGAAACATTTTATATTTTTATTAATTTAGTTTAAAGTTATAACTAAGTGTGTATAAACTATAAATATATATATATATATATATATATTTGTTATTAAATAAATAAGTAAAATTTACAATCTATACAATAAAAAAAAATTCTAATAAACAAATAGGTGAATATTATATTATATTGGATATAGTTGGTGACTTGGAGAAATAAAACTATCCAGTGAGAAGAGACGTGTGCTAGATTTTTCAAGACCTTATTTTAAACTAAAAGGTCACGGCACCAACGTATTTTAAGACAACGTGGTTGGGTTTTAGGGGAATTTGACTATAAATATTTTTAAAATTAGTAAATATTAAAAATATAAATACATAAATATTATTATTTTATTGATTTACCAGTTTATATTATAATATAATATGCAATCTAT